TTAACATCTATGATTATAATATTTTTTTGGCTGCTGTATTTAATTTTTTTATATTGTGATTGTAATTTTGGTTTTAATTGATTCTATGATTGTTTGCCGTCCAGAGTCACTTATTTGAGATGGGCAGACATACAAATTGAATTAATGAATAAATAAATAAATAAATTCCCTATTCTGTTATGACACTTCCGTCTCTAGTTAACACAAGTTTTTTTCAGTAATGGATTTTGATGGCCTGTGGTTATTCCAAGGATCTGGAATATATTATGCTCACTTGTGTATTTTAATTTCTCTAAAAAGAGTGTGTGCACTTTGAAAGTTGAATCATTCACTTCCATCTTTCTCCTCAAATCTAATAAGGAAGTATTGAGAAATGTTTGCTTCTACTCAATCTGAAACTGTCTTCAAATGAAAGGACAAGGCTTCCTTGTAGATGGAATCTGGGACAGGTAGATATGAAGATGAGGAAAGAGCTTTTTTAAGTGTGGTGTTTGTTTATATGAATTGGAGTAGCTTTATGGGACCACAGCAATGTCCCCAAGTGGTGGACCTACAGATGGTATAGGTCTTATGCTCTGGTACGTAGAAGCAATCCTTCGAACATTAGGAAAATACACACTTCATATATATATATTTTTTAAACTGCATACGTCTCATAATATCTCTCTTCTGCAAAACATATTTAGAGGAGGATATTGCAATTCCCCTTCTAAATTCCTTTTGTTTCTGTTTTTAATTTGCAATACCCTCCAGTTCATCTTGGAAATACAATTTAATTAGGGGGGTAATAGAGCTTTTAAAGGAATGCATTTTGAGTGTAGTTGCAGCCTTGTATTTTGAAAACAAGCTTCAAATAAGTAAAGAATTAGATAACAGATTTTATAAATAAAGAAACAAAGATAATATTTGTATGTAAAATATCTGACTAATCAGGTTGTATGTATGTCAGGATTCTGTGGGAGTATAGAAAAAACGGGATCTAGTACTGAATGTGGAATTCAGTCTCAGGAGAATCTCATATTTAATATTTCTTAAAAGCGGGTTCCTTGAAGCATAAGGGAAATGCCTTCTGTAATCTTAGAAGCCAAAATGATAGTTAATTACGCTTATTATGATTTTGTAGCAAGGATGCACTGTTGCATGACTCCCAGAACTAGACTAAATCTGGGAAAAACAAAAGTCAGTAGTATGCAAGAGAAATCATACAAAGTTCCTGAAACAGCATTATGTTTGTAGGATAATCAAATCGAAAATTTCTTGGCAGGATTTGTCAAGCAACTTAACTTTCTTCATGTAGAATACATTTAATTCTAGTTTTTCTGAATATACAAATTGTTCTTCTTTTTGACCTGGCAGGTTTTAGCTCACATCTTACGATTTGGTTTACATATATCAGAACCTTTCTTTCCTTCCCCCCTCAATACATGGAAAAGCAGCAAAAAATTCCATTTTGGCACTGCAACATTTGTGTTGTCAAGCTAAGAGTCTGAGTGGCATACGTTGTTCTCATTAACAACAGGCGAGGATGCTCTATTAACTTTTACATTTACCTTTTTTCGGTGGCAATTACAGGGAAAGAGGTCATCCTCAGGCTGCACCACTTTTTCCATGCCATCCCTAACTTTGGGATCACTCACTTGTAGCTTGGCATATTCCTAATGAAAAATTAAAAAAAGAAAAAAATTGCCTTGTTCCTTCAAACATCGACCACTTGATGTTGATTAAGGAGGACAAAAAACCTCAGCCCTACATTTGAAACTTTCCATGCATTTGGGGACGCTCAAGGACGCTTAAAGGGGCCTTATGTCTTGCAGATGCTTCCAGTATTTATTTCACTCATCAGAATTCCAAAAAACTCCTCTCAACATGGGCCCTGGACATGCCAGGCAAAGCCTGTGATGGTCCTTGAGCTGACCAAAAATGTGATGCTGTTTTAGTGCAAAAAATGGCCCACACTGCTTAGGAAACTTGGATTCTATAAGATTAAATATCATAAAAACTGTAAGGTGACTTGCTGAAATACCATCATTTCTATGTCAATGCATAGACTGTTTTAGGAGAGGCTTTCTAAAGCTCAGCTCTTTAATCTTTGCTGATGGCTGTTTTAAGAAGCCCATCCTCTCTTTAGAGTGGGATCTGTGGAAGCTCAAATGCATCCTTAGCAAAAATTTAGGGTATAACTTTTCCAAGGTGCTCACTTGCAGATTCTACAAATTAAACTCTGTTAGTGATGCGTTTTTAAAAGCTGCCCAATAATCTGGACAGTCTATGTTCAATTCTAATGTAGCTGAATGCAGAACGTTTTGAATCCATAAAATGAATTTTGTTAGGGATAATAAATATGGGCTTAGGAGATATGGACACGTTATGGGAATACATAAATAGATAAAAATTATCATCTAATTTAGATGCTGTCCTGCTCTTCAGAGTTGCAAAGTAACAATTGATGTAATGGACAGAGAGGAAGACTTAATCTACTCCATAAGGCTGTTGTAAAGATAAAAATGAGGGAGAGAAAGGTAGATTCATTGACTTTTGTTCCTTGGTCAGAAGATAGGAATTGATATAATTAATTAAATGAAGGTCATAGAAGGAATGAAGACATTTTGGAGTGCTCCGCTCACAAAGACATGTTGCCTTCATGCAAGATCTTTCAATAAAAGCCATGACAACCAGTATCAAGGATGGAGAACATATTTCACTCTCAGGTGACTCTACACCTAATCATAATACTTAAGCTGATTCATACCATGGGCTGATAATCTGTCATTCACAGATAAAAGAACTCAACACTCTAGTCACATTGTTTTAAAAATATCTATTTGCTATTGAGGTCCAAAAGCTCTTTCTGAAGTCCAGCACATCTAATTAATTAGTGGGGTCAAATACAAAAAAGATATGTAGTAAATAAAACTGTGTTGATCTTAAGATGCTACTATTTTCCATTAGAAACTTTCTAAAAAAATATCAGCTCCAAAATGCTCAGACAAGTAACATCTTCCTCTGAGCAACTGTTACTGTTTCTAGTGCTACAGAGCCAAGAACCCATTTGTTTGTACGTAAGCCTGGGAGATGCTGTCCACATATTAGGAAGCTCTGGAACAAAACAAAACAGAAACCTAATATGCTTACTTGAAATAGTAAATGAATGGAAGGGATCCAATATATTCTAGCAAAGGTTCCTCCCTCAAATGATATGAATTAGAGAAAAACTGTAACGCTAATTATTTTCCATCCATTTTTACACACATGGGTTTTCATACTTTTTCATATGTTACTTTTCATACCCTGCTTTCAGAAATTACTGGGGACAGAAAAGGCTTCAATTAGCTTTTGCATTTGGTAGTTTCACTTTCTCATAAATTTCAGCGGACAGAGATGTAACAAGACAAGCGGTCCCATAATTGTTAGCAGAATGAAGTACTAATTTTTAAAATTAAATATTGTAAAGCTGGGGTCCACTGTTAATCCCCTAGCTGAGCAGAACTCAATGTCAATTCAACAAAGCAAGATGAAACTGACCTGAAATAGTTTGAAATAATAACAGAATATATGATCTCCCATAAGGTTATTCCTTGCAAATTCTTGTCCTGCTTTTGCAATATTCTTTGCCTATCAAGGGGAAAAAATGGGGGTAGGGGAAGACAGATGGAATAAATACTGAATTAATGTATTTTCATATTCAAACTTTAGTTTCCCTAAATTTTCTTTTCTCCTACCCATCCCTGTGCACATATCAATCAATTTTCAATTATCACAACTCAAAATAAATCAAACTGAAAAAGCTAATTAAGGAGAAATATTAAATTACTAGTATTACTTAGCAGGCAATAATGATAGCAACAGTGGGAAATATATGTAGCTCAGCGCTGAACTGCTGGACTCTTGGTGTGCTCTGAGTTTGCTTTTCTTACTGCAGATGGTTCATGAACCGGCTCGGTAATATTATCAGTGTGCTGATGATGTTGCCTAGCCTGGTTATGAAATATGAGCAAGACCACCAACAAGTTCAGAGCACACCAAGAAGCCAATAACAGTGATACCAAATGAGAACTGTGAATCAAAAACTAGATTAGGTTTTAAATAAAAGGTGAATCTCCTTGAAATTCATGGACTCAACTCATCTGACTTCATGGGCATGTCCATATGGTTTGCCTGGCAGCAGTAGAGGAATGGTTTGACACTACCTTCTTTTACAGTATGTTTTGACTGGTATTTCCTGGATGTCTTCCAACAAAGTACTAACCAAATCTGACCTACTTAGTTTCTGAGCCCACACCAAGTCAGACAGATGTTGTTACCTGCTGAAATAAATACAAAAATCTATAAAATAGTGACACCATTCCAAGTTTCACAGAAGTTTCTTTAGGCTTGAAGTTCCAAAATAAACACGCAGGATAGGATAAGGAGAAAAGCTGTGCTCATATAATAGAGTACCAAGTTCAGAGTACTTTCCAGTCTTAAAATGATCATTCAGGGACTTCTTGCCAGGCTAATGAATTAGTGACTGGTACCTAATACCTTTGTTTGTTTGTTTGTTTGTTTCAGCTTGGACACTGACAGCTTGGACAACAACTATATCTAACATATATATAAAGCATATAACAATAGTAATAACCAGATGGCAGAACCAGTCAGTAAGACAAATGTGTCATTCGCCCAGAAGGAGCTCCAGCCACCCTAGCCCAATGCCTGGGGGAAAAGCCAGGTCTTTAAGGCCCTCTGGAATGCCATCAGGGTGGGAGCCACCTGGTTGTCAGGGGGACCCTCATTTGAGAGGGGAGGCACCATGATAGAAAAGACATACTTCCGGGGTCAGTATGTGCTTTCCATTCAGAAAAGATCCCAGGGCCAGTTCTTTGCACCTAAGCTGAGGAGGAAACAATTCCTGCCTCAAACTATGGAGAGCCACTGTCTGTTGAGGTCAACAACAGTTTCTGAAATGCACTAATGATAGCTATCTCTGGCAACTGCTACAGGATAACCTACAGGATAAATATAACCAACTTCCCACTGTATGAGTTGCATAATAATCTTTCACAAAACCAAACTAAATAGGTTTGTATCATACCAACCAACAGAAGTTCATTTATTAATTAAATGCATCTTTACCTCTTCGTCATGATCTTTTGCCCACTGGAGTTTTTCCATGAGATCACTCAGGTCATTCTTAAACGGAACGTAGTGCGTCCAAGGTTGTAGCTCATTGTAGAAATGTTCATAGTAGATGGAATCCTGCTTCAGCACTAAGCTGTTTCCTGCTAGCAAGTACGGCAGCCTGTATGCAGCCACTGTGCCATCAATATTAATTTGGTATTTATACTGCAAAATACACATCACATCATTAATATGCATATGATTCTCATAGTCCTATTGTAAGGTTCTCCCCCAGCCCACCCAAGAATTGAGCTCTTGACAAATGTCTGTAGAATATATGGGTAGAGGATATTCCACTGATAGAGCCATTTCACACATTATTTGGTATCAGACCTGAAATTCCTACTGGATGTGCAGTGAATAAGGAATTTTAGCCAATTGTTGTATTCTTTAGCACAGGAATAGGAAACACATCTGTGGTGTTCAC